TTGCAAAAGCTACAGTTACTATGTGATATCTGCTCAATAAAGATATAGAGTAACTACTAGTACCTGCAAACATACAAGAAACCGAACAACTCGCAAAACTTTTTGATAAAAATGAAACCGAAAATTTTGAAATTTATGCTTGAAATCGAACTGTTAATGTTGTGCCAGGAACAGATTGAATTCCATTTCAGGCACATTCTGCTTAAAATATTTATGTTTTTTCTACGTTTATGTTTAAAAAATGTTGCATTTTTACCCCAATTTTGGCGAAAATATCTCAAATTCCGTGGACTAGTTCCGTGGTATAATACTACTATAAATTAAGTATCTAAATAGATCTTACAGCGCCATACGTGTCCACTAGTGCAGAATCGGAATTTCATATTGCTTCAGATTGGCTCCCACATCAAAAAATAGTTCCAATATATAAATAAATCGAAAAAAAAGAATCGAAATGATTTGAGGAAGTACAACGTCATCTGAGGATTTAATTTCAAACAAATTTATTTATCGCCGTATTTAAAGCGCATTATTGTTATTATTAATTTTTTTTGTCATTGTTGTAAACTGCTTGTCTAAGAAATTCTACTTTTGGTCCGACGAACGTTACACGAATCTTACTTGATGAGGTTGTTACCTTTTGCCCAGTTCTTCGGTTTGTATTTCTTCTCTGATCTTCAAGTTGCCGTTTTCGTCGAGTTCTTGAGACATCTCTGATTTGTGGTGTCGAAATTGGTTTCACGAGTTTATGATGTATACAGAACGTAGGGTACTGTTTTTTATGTATCTATACTGTATATATTGAAATATACTTTTAGGTTTCAATAGCACTCCCAGAATGAAATGTACCAACGTCTCGGGGGAGTAGCGGTGCCAAATGAGCGTAATTTTACGTTACACCAGGTATGGTTAGGCTGATTTTACCAATCTCTGTTATTGGAATGGTAATTGTCAGTTTCAAGCGTTGTTTATAATACTTTGTTTGCAAGCCGAATAAATAATTACTTGGAGCAAAGAAATCGATTACGAACTGTTTACAGTTGAATAAACTTATTTTCGCTGTTTGGTCTAAACCGGGATTTGCCAACGAGTTATTTGAACGTAATGCCAATTTTTTTTGTCGGCATGCAATGATATATTGAAGCTAAGTCAATTTACAAATGAATATAGGAGAAAATTCGAAGTAAAGTCTGATTGAGTTTCAATCCAGCTTTGTGAAAAAAGAGCTTCATCGATTTCGACTTTTCCGATTTCCGTGAAATCTCATGCTCATGTACAAATTATGATATGACCTGGAAGTCAAGAGAAAAAAATAATTTGCAGCGCTCAGTTTTTCTGTTCTTGTACAGTTACATCTTACACACATACGTTTTGCTTTTTTGATAGAAAAATTTCGAATTGAAATGATCGTACGTTACTGTCAGGGTAGCTTTTGCGTGGTACCCGGGACTTTGCGCTCCTAAATAAAAAATTCAGGTTAGTTATCGCCGAAAACTGGCATCTGTTTTGCAATCAGCCTGTTGTGCCGTGTTAATTAATTTTGTGTCTTGCGATTTAGCTTGCGAATACAACGGAGTGACCATAAGTAAGTAGTAAATCGATTTCGCTGTTAATAAACCTACTTGTACGTTGTGCCCTTGAAACCGAAAGAGCGCGTGTAGAGCACCGTTTTGGCGTGTTCCGAAATGAGAAAATTTTCCCAATATTTAGTAGTTAAAGATATTTGTTCGAGGAATGGTCTAATTCGGAACTCTGTGCCGTCTATTTAGAAACAACCCACATTGCAAATTATTGATAAAGCTTAGCGACCTTCCGATTGGGAAACGCAGTTCTAAATTAAAATCGAATATTGCATTTATAATTTCAACATCCCTCTTGTTTCCAAACGCTCAATATTAAACCCGAATCTCCTTTGCTTAGCAAGTAATCGTTTTATCTGAGCATGGTACAAACTTGCAGGTACTGATATAGTGCCTTTGTCCGTCGTTAGAGCTGCTGCCGGCGGTTTCTACCGGTTTCTTTAACGCACATTTTAATACGCGGCACTAGCCCAGAAAACTCCCCTTCAGACAAATATAAAATATTTAGATCTTTTGTGAAAAGCCGCCGCCTAAAACACCCCCGTTCCAGTTAGGATGTTTATTCATTGGTGAAATTTAGCACTGAATTCAGCGATGTCAGCTAATATTTAATTAAAAAGGTTTAACTCACGAGATTTCGTGCGCCACCACCCTAACGTGGCGATCGCAATCTGCAATACTTAAAAGTGCAATACTGCAATACTTGAACGAATATATAGCCGACAATGCTTTGTATTTTGTTACCCATAGATAAATGCATGGTCTTGTGTTCTAGGAATCAAAATTTTATATTTTTTCGTGACACGGTTTTCGCTCTTTGGAATTAAACAGACTTTTCTTGTTCAATAATTACTGTCAAAAAAGATTAACCCCTATTGAGTGTCTGGTTATAAGACATAATGGGAATCATCTTGCTCAGATTACTTATGTTGGGAATTTTTCCTATTTCGGAACACGTCAAACCATGCGCTTCACAAACTTTCGTTTTTAAGAGCACAACGTATAATTTGGCCAATTAATAACAAAATACGAGCGTATACCCTTAGCGTACGGTACCGTTGTTGTAGCAATACAATTACTTCGCAAGCGTTCAATTTTCTCATGTGCAGGGTATTCACGGCGACATGAAATTAGTTCTACATTTTTATATATCTGAATACAGTGGTGAGTTTCAAAGTTTTAGGAATGGATTCGCTTTTGTATCGAACTAATTAACAACGGGTTTCCGTATTTCCAGAAATATGTGTATGTCACTGTGTAAGCTACAATTAACATGTCATGCTTTACATAAATCCAACACATAACACTTAGCACGTAAAATATGAAGCTAGTTTTCAGCTGCGGTGAACTTTATTATCCATTTGCTGCGGTTTTCAAAAACACACAAAAAAAATAAGAACGGTTTTGGCCAAACCCATAAGAATTCCCGGAATACTATTGCTGCCTATATATTAGCAATACATTTACTATATAGCCTTCGTATTAAACAATCCAACTAATAATATCTTTGTAAGCAATTTCTGGCCCAAATCGTGGACATACTCTCAACGCAGCAAGACGACATTCGGTTCCAAGTATGAAACATCGAGCATAATATATCTTTTGAGAAATGTGAAAAAAATTTCCAAACACCAAATCATATAGGTCATCTTTGTTAGAGTTCAATATATATGTGAAAAGTTCAAATTAAAGATTTTTAAAACGATATCTTATATGACAAAGTGAAAACATCAACTGGCAGAAATTTGGTCGGTAAAGCAAAGTAACTTATTACCAGTTAATGCTCAGGAAATGAGTTTTCACAAATTTTTCCAAAATCACGGGCTACACGAAATGCTTTGGCAATCCACATGCGACCCGCCGACCGTAGTTCGCTCATCCTTATCTTAAGCCATCCTGTGAATGTCATACTAACCGTTTCATTCCATAACTTTTTGTCATCCCTCTTTGATACCTTTTCAATTCATATGCCAAGTATATAGATATCTGAACCTCTACCAGTGCTTTTGTCTTACGTACTAACAGTGGCATATCTAGTGTGTGGCAGTCATGGCTCGTGCCATTTGCGCCGTTCGAATTGTGACGCAGAAGGGCAAAAAATTTAAATCGTGAAATTTTTCAATAAAATAATTTCGAATTGGAAATAATTTAAACTCGTATTTTCATTTGAATAATAATGCGCAGGTATCACAATTCAACAGCAGTCGTTTAAAATTTACGATCAAAGTGCGCAGTTTTAGGCTTTGCCATGGGCGCCATTTTACGTAGAAACGCCACTGCCTACTAATTATTATTTATTGATCTTGATCGGTAAGTATGTTGATAGGTATTTGTCTGTTTGTTTGTTTGTTTGTTTCGCTTTCGTATGTTACGCGATATCTCACGAAAGAGGTTTTTTGCATGTGCATTCATCATAACTCGAACCAAGAGCCTATTGATTTTTGATGAATTATGTCTATTCATAATTATGGCTTATCATACTTAGCGAGTTGTTAATTAATTAGTGATGGGACACACAGTGTCGCTATAGCGTCAGAGTAAAGGATTCGAAATCGCAAGATCGATCAGTCAGCGGTCTCCGATCGCTATCTAGTTGGAACCTTTATTTGGGGTGACACAGAGATCATAATTCCTTCAATTTAACAACCGATGGTAGCAAAGTGCAAAATTGCAACTGTTGCCTTGTAAAACGTTTTACTAGATGCCGTTTTTGGAGTGTTTAAACTCGTCGCTGTATATAATAGCAGTTAATTTTTATTAGGGAGGTGTGCACTATCTTCTACAGTTGACTTTTGGCGATTCAGTCAATCAGGAGACAAAACGGCCAAGTGATTCAAAAATGTTTCGGTACAGACTGGAATAAGGGAGTTAGAGTCAGTTCCTGGCGGTGATTCAACTAAGTTACATGAACTCACAGTGAGTGAAAACAATGCGGGTCATGTGAGTTCGTATCATAACTTTTGTTAGAGTTAGCCTAGGGTTGCCATATCTGGAAAGACAAAATCCCTGACAAAATTTTAATAAGCCACGTTGACCAAATTTTGCAACCAAAATACTCATGGTATATTATGGTATAAATTCACAATGTGTCGAAAGTTGACCTCCTGAAGTATGCGCACCAAGATGGCGCACAACCTGAACTCAGGTTGGGTGCCAGGTTAGGGTTCAGGTTATGCGACAACTTGGTGCGCATACTTCAAGAGCACCTGCAAAGGCGCAGGTTGTTGTCGCTTTCTCGTGAGAATAGAATGACTACAGAAACGAAAGGAGTAAAATTGTTGCTCAATCTTTAGCCCGAGTGACTAAACCCTAGCACGGAATAAATTACAGGTAGTGCAACTAAAATACTAATTACAAAATGCTGGCAATTCAGGTCATATGTAACATCACAATTATCTGAATATTAATATTATCTTTATTAATATTTCAAGATCAATAAAATAAAGAATAAAATTGTAAATAAATTTTCCACAATTTGAAATAAAATAATTTCGATTGAAAAAAAAAATCAAGAGTGTATAAATGTTCTAAAATTGTAGTCAAGGGACGGAGTGTTCTGGAAGGAAGCATGGGTAATTAAAATATTCAAGTAGCCGAACACATGTTGACGATGAATCGCTAGGTGGCGCTATAAGTCTTCGTGTGCTCTCGTTCATTTACGTCACTAAAAGATTAATGCTGTAGCTTTGTATCGGAACTGCGCAAGTAGGCGGCAAAATCGTGCGAATTACTAATGGCGTTGTAACAAATAAGGTTCCTTTTTTATACTAATTTGCTGGTATTTAAATTATTGAAGGATTTTGTAATTTCGTTAATAAACATGAAAATATAGATAAATTATAATAAGACAAAAGTACAGACTTGAAAGTGGGGATATCATTCTAAAACAGCAATTGCATCCTACACGGGAAAATATGAAGTGAGAATTTGTTCCAGGAAAGAATTTGCTGTGGAATGAATTAGTATGGACATTAAATTGCTTTGTCCTGGGTTGACAAAGAAACGATCGATAAACGTGTTGAAGAACGAGATTAGAGCCACGTCGTCCTAACATGTATAAGATCGCCGGTTCAAACCCTACGGACATCGTCTAATCCAGGGTGTGTTCAATTGGGAGAGCGATTCAGAACAAAACAAAAAAAACTATTCCGGTTTTCGCAAAATAGTAGCTCTCTACGCATCGGCGGCTTCCTGTTTGAAACCTTGTTTGGAAAAAAAATAACGCCTCCCAAATGGAACATATATGTTGTAGGGTAGGATAGAGTTTACAGATTTATCCCGGGGAGAGGAAAGCCGATAAGACAGCCTAATCATATGGCGTCTCGTTCGTTTACCAGTCCATGTCGGGTACGGGGGTCGTTAGCCTGTTATTGGTTTTTGGGAGCATGGACTTGGCAATGTTTAACGAATAACCGAGATAATTTGATAGAAGGGAACATTGCTTTATTTATTGCAATTAGACGAAGTGGTACGGAAATAAGCGTCTCCTGAGACTGACCTGAGAGCTAATGCTAAGAGTTAGAGATATAGGCTTGAGATCGTGAATTTCTAACTTCATAACTTTCATATTAATAGAGTGTGAAGATAGGAATCTTTGACTATGCTATGTTCATTGGGATTGGTCGTTTCGAAATTGTTTGATGACTTAATGAATACGGGATGTTTAAATTCTTGATTTGTAGAATCTCATTTGCGAGGCGTTGGTTGCAATTTTAATACAGCTTGATTCAATTCATATCCCTTGGGGATAATTATGTACGAGTGGCTTGCTAAACTCATGTCGTCGTAGGGTGTATGACGTAACCGTTGTGTTGCGTTTCGTCTTTCTCCATCAAGTCCATACATCTGAAAATAAATAGCTTGCAAACTAATACTATACGCGACATGGACTTGTAACCAGGCCATAGGCCGTGGTTCGTCATATGATTAAGCCGTATATTCGGCTTCCCTTTTCCGGGTTGAATGTGCAACTCCTATCATAATTCAAATTTTCTTTCACTGCATTCGAAATGAGTGTCTTTCCTTTCATTAATTATCTTATTGAAAATCGTCTTCTATTTAAATTCATTCTGCTTAGTCCCATGGTACGAAGAGGTGAAAACGCTGACATTAAGGATCCAGGTTGCCGATTTGGTAAATCACAAGCTGGAAATAACAAAAACAGATTTATAAGAACAATTCGACAACGATCAATAATATTTAATATTGTTGGAATTGAACAAACCTAATAGCAATTAAAGTATAAAATATATTTTATATATGCACCAGAGTTCAAGTAATGAATGGATTGTCCATTTCTTGTCATTGATGTAAACTGGTTGTCTCAGGAAGTCTGATTTTAGTCAGACGAAACGTTACAGAACTAAATATGTGCTAGTGTGCAGCATGACTCTCTAATTGAATAGAGTTTAGGTATATGTAAGAATTCTGTATAGTATAGCTCATCGGTGGCCGAAGTTATTTTTTTCGCGAGGGACGCTTTCAGAAGTTATTTTTTCGCAGAAGGCCGCATTCGATGTCACGGTGACTTTTACCATTCGCTATGACATTGTCGAATTTAACGGTTGCTGACATTGTTAAGTTGGATATGGAGAATAACATTGATACTAATTTAGCACAACTTATCTAATCTAAATAAGTTTGAAAATAAGTCTAAATTTTCCGTTTAGTTGTAGGAAATTCCCAAGTTTCCCTAAAAGGAGGGAAGAGGGGCTGCACAAAATTCTTTTCAACGGGCACTAGTTTATCCACCTCTGCCCTAGAAATTGATAAATTTATTATATACAGGCCATGTCCCCTATTATCTGTAATTCTTTCTAAAATTGCTTCGCATGTTCGGATATCACTATGTAAATGCCAGCAGTGTGAATTCCATAACGCGGAGCTAGCAGCAAATTTATCAACTGTACGGAATTCTATGTGTATTTAATATTTAATAGCAAACACTACCATTATAAACCACCATTCCCATTATGTTCGGTCAAGTTTTTACAAAAACAAACGCCGATGAAAAAATAATAAAAATATACAAATAATCGTCTAATTAATCGTCGCATTTGGTTGATCATCTTTGAGTTTTGAATGATACTAACAAAAGTAATTCGAAAAGCAGGTACTCCTGAAGTATGTAAACCAAGATGGCGGACACCAGAACATAGTATGTGTAGCAGGTTAGGGTTAGGCCATAATTTCAGGTACAAATACAACGGGAGTCACTTGGCTAGTCCCCGAACTCGCAATAGAACTAAAATAAGGAAAATTGGAATAAAATTATGGTCTTACCCTAACCTGGTACACATACTATACGTTCCGGTGTCCGCCATCTTGGTTCACATACTTCGTGATCGACGAAAAACAAGTATATTTTACCTTTAATTAAACCAGGTAGTAGATCATCTTCTTCTAATTCATATGTGACGTCATCAAGCATCTCAGCATGTGCGTCACAACTCTGACGTACTCGTATTAAATTAATCTCAGTTCTTGCATCAAGTAGTTTACGAGCGAGTTTGTTGTCTTCAATCCTCATTGTGATCTGGGTGTGAAAAAATAAAATAAAAATTAATTTGTGAAACCCACCCAATAATAGTTATCCTGTGATTCAGTAGTCTCGCCTCACACTAACACAAATATATTTCTGTAACGTCTCGTCTGACTATAGTCAAACTTCCTCAGACATTCATAGTTCAACTATCTGTCGGTCGAAACATTGCGGAAATATATATATGTGTTAGTGTGTAGCAGGACTCTTGAATCATCTGAAATATTCTATCTCTTATTCCCACCTCAACCAAAACAAGAATAGAAATTGCGGTTCCCATACATTTGGACCCACGACATTTGCACCTGCATATACTACACCCATTGAATTTTTTTTGTTTTGCAGATATTTGAACCCATGCTAACCCTAACCCATGGGTTTTAGCACCCGCATATAGATTGAACCCGCGGATATATACATGGGTTCAAATATACGTGGATCACCAGAAATTGCATTTATAGTATACAATGGGCGTCACGACAACATAACAATATCGTAACAATGAGAGTTGAAAAATCCATAAAATTTGTGATTGTATAATTAATTAAAAGCACTAAATATAAAAATTAAAACTTGAAAATTAATTTAAACAGTGTATGAAAAAATTCACCCCAAGTGGGTGAATAAAATACGATTCTTTAGTTTTTCGGTAAATATGGTCTTGAATTAGTTTCTCAATTCCAATCACCACAATTTGATTTTTTTTGATTGACAAACAATGCTTGTTTCACTATTTTGATATTATAATGCACAATAATAACAAACATTGAATGTGATTTAATAATTCCCACTACTGGCTTATAATTCAGGATAATATAAGTTTAATACGGTATTTGTGGTCCAACTCTAGATTACATACATTTTAAATTTACGTTACGTTTTATTACTGAGCAAATGGAGGCATTGCCTTCACTATTTGAGCAGCTTGAACAAATAAATTGTCACAAGGGAAATTGCAAATCAAAAGTGTTTACCAGACGGGCGTGATCGCTCATTTGACACAAACATTTGTTTTATTTGGCAAGTCATACTAATTATCGCTGTGTTCGACGTGATATTTTTATCTTTTCTATCGCACAATGTTTCGTAATAGCAATACTTGCCAAGATCTCGCATTAGAATTGCTAGCCAACGACCATCTTGAGATTTTTTTTTGCCATGACCGTGAGACATGTATTTGGCACACTGTTAAAAAATTAAGGCAGGCTGAGGTATTGCACATGAACACAAGAGAGCTACGCCCAAATATATGGACACGTCTGTTTGCAGTACAGTACGGTTTACCGTACCGTCAGATCACAGTCTACAAATATATTCACACCAAGCGAAGCAGTACAGTAGGACACAAAATGGCGTCCGATGTTCGAGAACGTTTAATGACGTCATAGCAAACAAAAACAAATCTCACAAAGCTAACAGAAATATTTAAAATGAATAAAAGTAATAGCCTTCTGGGGAAAAACTTTATCTTCAACCACTGGAAATTTCAAAGCAATTGGTCCAGTATTCGAAGAGAAAAGCGGTTTTTCAATATTCCCACTAGGTGTGTCATGTCACGGTGTTATGTCAACGATGAATGTGGAAAATCGAAAGCAAATGGACTAATCTGTGTCAAACAACAAGAACAACAAGAACAAAAACAACATAATATTGAAACGATTGTTATGTCCACTACGTGTCCAATAATGACCGAGGCCACCGGTCAAAATGAGAAAAGTAATCCAGTAAGTATTAGTAATCCAGGGTTCGAATGCAGATTGCGCTGGAAATCCAGATTTTCAAATCATTCCTAACCAACTGGATAATTACTAATTTTCCATTTTAAAATGCAGCGGGGATGTTTTTTTTTCAAATTTCACCTTTTGCATTAGTGGTGGGTGATCCGAATATAAAGCCTAGCAAATGTCTTCTGATAAAAGCCACGTTAAATTTCCAATATCATATGTCAGAAGAGCACACCCGAAGACAGGACCGATCATTCATCGACTAAATGTAATTTATTCTGCTGTTTGTGCTATCAAGACATACCAGGCCACAACTCATCCACGATAAATTTCCAACATCATATGTCAGAAGAGCACACCCGAAGACAGGACCAACCATTCATCGACTAAATGTAATTTATTCTGCTGTTTGTGCTATCAAGACAAACCAGGCCACAACTCATCCACGATAAATTTCCAACATCATATGTCAGAAGAGCACACCCAAAGACAGGACCGACCATTCATCGACTAAATGTAATTTATTTTGCTGTTTGTGCTATCAAGACATACCAGGCCACAACTCATTCACGATAAATACCAGATTACAGATGCACAGAGCAAATTGTTTAATGTACAGCGATTGGTTGAACATAACACAATTTTGAATTCGTTACCTACGATTTTAATTGCCCCCCAGCGTTCAGGATTTGCTTTGTCTGAGTCGCAAAATAAGCCAACAAAGAAAATTCCTAGTGAGAATGAACATTACCGGACAAAGAATAGAGTTATTCTTGTGCAAACGGCTTACAAATCAAATACCGGAGGTTTTTTGTCTTCAAATAATCTGAAGAACGACGTCCATTTTATGAATGTACTAAACATGAAAAATGTTCAAGTGTGGGCAACTGGTTATTCTCCGTGCAAAATTCAAAGGTCATATTTATCATCATCGTATCGGGCGAGTGACACCTATCGAATTGACGGACCTCCTGAAGTATGCGCACCAAGATGTCGCATAACCTGAACTCTAACCTGGTACACAACCTGAGTTCAGGTTGTGCGCCATCTTGGTGCGCAAACTACAGGAGGTCCGAATTGACTACATTCCACAGCTCTCTATCTAACATGGGAAGATCAGGCCTACTCCCGTAGTGTGTGTACTAGGTTAGGGTTAGGCCATAATTTTATTCCGTTTTTCCTTATTTTAGTCCCTAGCAATCAGTCCCTTTACACAACTTGATGTAAATTAGGCGAACAAAAGTGAAATACATTATTATAAATTACGTTACAAATAGTTTTATCGTTTATAACAAAATATTCACCACCCCTTAAATTTCGAAACACCCCCCCTAAAAATAAAAAGCTGGAGAAATACTGCTCAAGGTGTAATGAAGTATGTTGGCAATTCCTTCTTTGAAAAATTCACTCCCTAATGGTTGCTTGTGTATAGCATTGATAAGCGCGAACAACATTATGAAAAAAATTCTTAAAAATGGTATAGTGCCCATCAAAGAAATAGCGCGATGTTTTCAATATGAAAATTCTTAAAACAGATGTTGTTCTCATATTCATCCGCCATCAGGGTTTCATTAGCTATCGAAGTTGATATGCTTTAATATAAGTTTAAAAATAATGGCAATAATAAGCCATTCACAGGAAAAGCGAGATGTTTTAAATTTCAAAATACCTAAAACAAATATTGTTCTCATAATTCGTGATGATTGATCTCTAACGTTATATTTATGGCTTGAACAAATAAGGCAATTATCCTGATGACGTCAGAATCATGAATTTAGATTTGTCTGGCTTCGATCTAGGAATTGTCCGCGAATAACTTATTATCAGAAAACGATTTTGAAATTCAATATTTTCTGGGAACAGTTTAATATTGTTTTGCAATTTAAATTATGAAGTCGGGTCTAGGACTTGACTTAATTGATACCATTACGTAAAGTGCACCAGGACGCAGTTTAGAGCCACAATTACTTTTCGTCGCTATACTTTGGTAAGCTCTATTTCGTGATTGTGACGTCTAAGTGACGTATTTTATGGATGACGTAGTCAGGTGGGGGACAGGTATGACATATGCAGAAATTATTACCCACGCTTACTAGAAGTAAACTATACGGGACCCACGATATCTATTAGGTTTTCCAAAATACTTTTAAAAAACTTTGGTAAACATTTACGAAGCTCAATATTAGCAGATATGCAAAATGGAACAAATTAAAATCAGCGTTTCATTGTTAAGGCCACGATGATAATGTAATTGAAGCATAAATAGATTAATATTTCGAGCAACTATCAATTTTTCTACCCTCATAGCTCATAGCACAGTGGGAAACAAAAACGAGCCTGCATTTTACTGCATTCAACTTTAATTTGAAAATGCGGAAGGTTTTTTGCCTCATCATATACTTCATAGTATATGATATTCATGACATTAGTCTTATAGTTGTACCGATTGTGAATACGCTGTCTTTTATAACATTTGTTTTCGCTTGGTTCGGATATGATTACACCGAAAGCCTATTTTTGGAGCAGTGTTAGCATCTACACGCGCAGTTGGGAAATTTAAATTGTTTTATTTTTGTGCCGCATCAATATGCGATGATTATCTAGATATACCGTAAGTTCTGTTTAGTCACGCTCGAATAAGTTCGTATGATTACCAAAAAAATAGTAAAAGAGATATACTCACTAAATCTCTTCTAATTTTTCCAAGTGCTCTTGTTATATTTCTATATCTAATCGCCGTCGCACTCATTCCTGTAGTGACGTCATCATTTTCGTCATCAGTGTCATAAAGAGGAAATCGACATATTTGTTCTTGCGTTTGATCTTCATTCCCGCTCTTGGATACGGGTTTTGTGATGTCACAGTGCGGTTTATAATTTTTATTTAAATCATCATTTGAGTTTTCGCACTCAGGCACGACTTGAGTTGGAGTCTTTATTGGTGAGGTTGTAGCCGTTATTTCGAGTTCTTTTTCACCTCGTGTCGAGGACTTAGTTTTTTTAGAAGAAGTTTTATCTTTTTTAAGATGAAATCCTGGAAATATAAACCCGTTTTTCTTGCTTTCAGAGGGTATTTTTTCGGAAGATTCCGATTTTTGACTTTTAGACGTTTTAAGTTTAATGTTGTTGTTTTCTACGTCATCTTGATTTATGACGTCATTGGTGAGGTCTTCTGTAACGCTCTTTTTTAATTTAGCGCCGACGATTTTGTCCAAAAATTCCGGCTCTACGTCCGAAGAATAAAATCCTTGAGATTTACGGAATTCGATAACCTGAAACGAGAAAGCAATGTTTTAATATGTATACACGAAGGACAAATGTCATACAAAAGTGTTACCGTATGTCATAAAAAGTGTTCACATTTTTTATACGACGCTTTCGGATTTTTTCAACCCCAAACAAGGCCATGTACAGGTAGCCACATAGCTAAAGAGGTGTAAAGGGTTACTGAATATTAAAATTTCGGTCGAAATATTGGTACCTATAACCTCAGAAGAAATTTGAAATAAATATCAAAATAATCGCTTTCTATCAATTTATTAGTTTTAGAAAGGAGATTTTTTCATGACATAAACAACAAGAACATCAACACCTTCGAAAAACTAATCTATCGTTAACCCGCTGTTCAAACCGTTAAGTTGGAATATTGCATTTTGGTGTCAAATTGTTTGCTGGTGACACCAGAGTTTAATATTGCAATTCAATTTCAGTCAGACTAGCTGATAGCATATAGTAAACCTATTTATATCTAATCTGCGTTATCGCTGGGAACAAAACAATGTGTAACACATTCTTCTCCGTACTTTTAGGGACTGCACACTAAATGCCGAAACCGAATGTTGAGCTTACTACAAACCCAATTACTGGAAACTGTTACTGGAGTGTTATCAACCATGTAAAAAGATTTGAAATTACGCAGATTTTGCTCTTTCGCTTAAATAAGGAAACTGTAATCTACGACTTGAAAAAAGATTTCTAAACTCTTCGCCATTGCATAGTTTCTTTCCAATAAAACCACTATTAGGTTATTTGAGTCCAAAGTGCTCTAATGACCAAGTCAGTAAATCATTAAATAGAGATCATTTGATGTCTTCACGTTCTTTAAATGACATTTAAGCCGCGCACCCAATTTGTCAAGTCTCGCGGCCCATTTCAAAAATAACTAGCTAACAGTAAGCGTGTTTTATTCAAAAAACCCGTTGAAAATAGTGTCGCATTAGGGACTTGTGGGGCGTGTCCCATCGTTGGAGAACCACTGATGTCCACCATTATGGACTTACAGATATTTAAATACTAGTGTAGGAAGTGGGAGATTTACACACCTGTTTCCACTGGACTGTCGATGGTCTCCGAGTTGCCAAATTAAGTTTCTGCGATACTTCCTTTAGTAAATGTAAATCAGTTGGCTCTTCTATATCTTCAGGATTAAATCCTATAGCGTCGTTGGTTGTAACGGGTCTCTGCCTTTGTATAATAGGTTTCTTTCGTACCTTGACTGCGGAAGCCATAGTTATGATATAAGTTTGTTATGTATATATATACTCTAAAAGTTCAATGCAATGTTCATCAAATCGAGTAGCTGTCGAAATTAAAAAAGTGAAAACGCGTATAATTGATATCCATCGTGTCTGTAATTGGAATTTATTGATCATAATAACTCACTATGGGAAATAAAACGACATTTTCTGCAAAGTGTCTTAGATTATTGAAACTTTTGGGTACGAATATACGTAGTCCGAGTGTAAACAAAATTAAATAAATTTTATTCATTTTTATATAAATAATTAGAAAATTTGTCGATTCGTTTTTTTGTCGCTTTGTATTACTTCTTGAGGTGAGAAGATAGCACTGCGGTATTTTGGATATTGAATCAAATTTAATATTAAAAGAACTATCAATCTAACTTTTACATTTGTTAAGCCTTTTATTCATGGCTCATTTCTTATCAAAAAAACTTGGATATCTCTTGGCATATTAACCCAATACTGGTATTGATTAGATTTGCCGAAAAACTCAAAAAAGCACATAGTCGAAATATGCATTTTTTGTTACTAACCCTCTAATCTGTTGACTCAAAAAAGTCGGCTTGATTCTTAAACCCCGATGTACGCAGATTAACTGTATAACACACGACTAATGCCTCAAAAACGTCCTAATTTTTCTCAATCTAAGACAATAACTACTGGAATATAATACACTATATACATACACCATAAAACACTGTTAATATTCTCGCACAGGGAACTGACAATCCTGTTGATCTGAAAATACAACATTTCAAAGCTACCTGTATCGTATCGTATTATTTTAGATTGAGAAATAGTACTCCGTCAGTAAGACGACTATATAATTAATGACGAATATTCAACGTCGAGAGAGCCCGACAAAATCAGATTGAATAGAGACGAACTTGAAGCGAGCGAAGAAATTCTCTAAAATAAATAAATTTCTCTATAAGAGGTACACTTTTGAATTAGTTTGTTGATTATTATAACTATTATACTGCTGTTCACATACCAGAAATATCGCCAATTTTGTGCTAATGTATAATACCTATTCTAACAGCTAACTTATATCCTGAAATTAGTGGATATGCACAATAAAGTCGAATCGATCACCTGCTGGCGATGAAATGACAACGCGTAAAACTGATATCCATCTTATCTATGTAATTGGAATTTATTGATCATGATATTCCAGTATGGGAAACAATACGTCACGAAGACATCGATTATGACGACATATACAAACTTTTCAAATATTATCATAGTGTCATAAAACAGTCGCGTGTTGTTTTTATCTAATTTTTATATGAAAAGTTTGGTTAATTTAAATTTTTATTCAAAGGAAAATAAATATTGGTAAATACAACTTGAATGTCGTAGCTTCGTTTCAGTTCAATAAAGTCGTCAATAAATTTATGTCGAAAGTTTAATTCTGAGTTTACAAAATAATGCATTCGCGTAATTTGTGACGTCCAACGGTATTTAGTCATCGGGTTATCGCGGAATATTTATTTATCGGATGAAAGAATGTTTATGTTTTCCCGCAAAACAAGTAATTCTTGACGCAGCAACTAAAAATGTTCGGGAGACAAAATCACTAATAAGTTATTTGATTTCTACCCAAATTTCGATAAAAGACATACAACTAACAACTAGTTAATAATGTCTTGAAAATGAGCTAATGTTCACAACCATGCTTAGGAAATAAACAAGGGGAAATATAGATAAGAAATCCATAATACTAATCATACAAAAACAAAGAAAATTTGCAAAATGAGTATTTGTGCTGCCCAAGATAGGTATGATGAAATTCTTTTTTAGTTTTATAAAGTTAAACCCAAAAAATCTGGGAAATATAGCTATTGTTATGGATTAGCTTGTGTAGCTTATTTCTCGAAAGGCGAAGAGATTTCCATTTACCGATGTCCGCTACAAAAACTTTACCGGTTGTATATCTTTTTCTTAAAAGAATCGTTTGTTCGTTATTGGTCAGAATCAGCCGTCAGTGATACTTAAATTTATTATAAAAAATAGGGATCACTGTAGATGACCTATTACAAGGGATGTATACAAATACCACATGTGTAACCCATGTTAACTATATATTTATATCGCTGTCTTTGAGGCAGCCGAACGATCCTTATTGAGATATTAGGGACATAGAGCTCTCAATTTCCTGAATAATTGTTCATATTCCTATTCCAGGATAGGATGGACTCTTTAAAGGGCCATGCCGAAATTTGAGTTATAGTAACAACACCAAGTAACAACTTGGAATACTTGACGCTACATGCGCTGTCAAAACAGTCAGATTGAGTTGAATCCGACAATTCGGAATTTTGTAAGTTCATAAACCAATTTGAGGTGAAAACCTGGCTTATAAAGTATTCAACAGTAACACGTATAAAACAGCTTGAAACGTATCTTTAAACCGGTGGTTTTCAGCCACTGTTCCGCGGTAAGAGAGAGTCCAAAGGTTCCGTATGTTAATATTCAAATCTAAGAGTATTTTGCCAGTATTAGGTTTGCTTTCATTTGTTGATAGTTTATAAATTTACAGCCTTACAAGTATTGCTCAACCATGGCATGGAAAAACTACTGCCTGCGGGCCAAACCCGGCCCGTTAGGTAATTTAATCTGTCCCGCCTGATGCTGACACAACCGAACTAAAACCATGATGTTTTAGCTAAATATATAGCTCAAGGAATTTGTTGATATTGCGATTAAATTTAGTTTAGGCACGAGGCTTATTGTTTTCCAATTTTGCTTTTGCAACACTTCATAATAATAAAATGTAACGTTTTACGTCAAACTTACATGGCCTGCCAGTCTTGTTGTAACTAGTCAGAAAACTCTCCCTCCTCTCCTCAATAGCTTTTGGGTTGCTTTATTAGGGTTTCACCAAAAAGAGTAAGTAACAAAAACCACTCTTCTATTATTACCTATTTAATTCTAATATGCACGCACCACGTCTTTACGTTTCTGCGGCTTTTTTCGGACTGACGTCACAGAGTTGAAACTATCACCTACATATCTACGTTACTCATTATAGAATACTGCACAAAAAGTTGCAAATTTAACTTATATCTACAGCATTACAAACAGTGGCCTAGCTTCGTGAAATAGCGCCTATGGCTGACTGACAATTTTTAACGACTTTTGTTTTGAGATACTTGTACATTATTATTTATGAAAAAATATGAGTTCCAATTATTTAGAATTTGAAATTGTATTATACATTTTACAATTGAAACTTTTCGCATTTTTCGCCGCTGCCCAAACCGTTCAAGCCAACGCTGACCCACCCTTGATAAGCAACTGAATTAATAAAACTCCAGAGTTCGTAATTGTCACTTGTTTTTACTAGGATAAAAGAAACTATCAAAATTATCCATTCAAAAGGCGAAAATTCAAATAAATTTTACGAATATTTAAAAGCATTTTCTAGTTTATTTTATTAGTGTGAAAGATTTCACTAATGAGAAATGACATATTTCCGGTATGACAAATGATTCTTCAAATTTGAGCAGTTAGAAACGAACACAAAATAAGTAAAATTTTTGCGTCATTGAAAACCAATTATTCAAATACCCACTTATATCTAATCTAACACGTAGAATTTAACTCTGAGATTTTTCTTGCAAGAAGCTATAGTAGTATGAAAGAATTGATATGTAAGAGAGGATTGCTGTACTCCTCGTCGATGTAGAGTGGTTCGCGTAAACGCTGGTTGCTTACCGTTTTCTTCACCACCAAGTCTATGAATCTTTATCAGATAACTGACTAATTAATCCCATACCCGACATGGAATGGACGAGAACCCGTGGTTCGCAATATGATTAAGCCGTCTCACGGTTTTTCAATCTCCCAAGATAAATATGAATATTGCAGTAGATTTTGACTTTTGACTCAGAATTTACAACAATATAAAGCGGAGACCATGTGCTATGCAAAGATAAATATTTACATAAAGAGTAACAATGAAATGAAACCAGCTCGGAAGCGTAGGCGAATTTACTCACTTAGTTGACTAATCAATTCCTGGCGGAGTACACACTATATTCTTGTGCTATAGTGATTGTTTTAGCAGGTACGCAAAAAATTAACATACTGCATTTTAAAATGCGCAAAAGCTTAAATTCCGTACAGTATATTCTTAGTCGAATTCAAGTCATAAACAAGAGAGCAATGCTCAAATATATGGACACGAAAGCAGAAACAAATTTTTCCAACCACAATCCCCCCAAAATCATAGCTTGAACGAAGCTGGAACCGTGGCACAAGTCAAGTTTATTTTTTCCAACCAGTACAAAAATATAACAAGCACAAATTACAAGAAAATGATAATTACAGTCGCGGGGAACCGAAGCTGGTTATCGAGCAGCGGTACCCGGGGTTCAAATATCTAATTCAAAAAGTTAGAATTCATTACATTATTTTATTTTTATTTGATGCGGGGCTTTGTGACAAAGTATCCGAAAGGTAAATGCATCTTTAAAATAGCAGTACGTTACTCATCAAATAAAATCTACTTTATGAAAACATTATAACGAGTGTTTGAACAGAAGAGCGAAACTGTCTTGATATTCATAAAATCAACACTGAACATGATAAGAATCAGATTCGATTATATTTACAATGATTACCATGTAAAATTAACGGAATTATCCAGTATTTGTTTTTTTTGTACAAAGACCTCCCCCCCCCCAATAAAAAAACTCATTCCCGCCACCATTCAAAACAGGAACATTATCAATTTAACGACGTAGGGTTCGGAATGCAAATTGCGCCGTGGATTCAAATTTTCAAATCATTCCTAACTCTAGAATCTAGATAATTACAAATTTTATATTCTACTAAAACATGGCGGGGATGTTTTTCTCAATTTTTTTACTCTTTTATATATATCAGTGTCGGGGGCGTTGTGCAAATGGTCCAAAGGTTGTTGCATACGGTGGTTCACTCATGCGCCTTTTATTAGCATTGCAACCTTTGTGGTTTAATTCTTCGTGTCATCCGACAATTACTAACGCACCTGTCTGAAGAATGTAACCGAGTAAAAAAGAAACCTAATCGCATATAAAACGTTGCCCTCT